AGTAGCTCGGCCAACAGGACATGTCCTTGCCAGAATTGTGCAGCTCGACCAATTGTCACTCGAGCAGCACCTCGGCGAACCAGTCCAACCTATGCCCGGGTTGAGTAGCTCGACCAATAGGACCAGTCTTTACCTGAGTCGTGTAGCTTGGCTAGTTGACACTTGAGCAGCACCTCGACCAATCGATCCAACCTGTGCTCGAGTCGAATAACTCGGCCAATAGGACCAGTCTTTGCCCGAGTCGCATAGCTCGGCTAGTTGACGCTCAAGCAGCACCTCGGCAAACCAGTCTAACCTATGCTCGAGTTGAGTAGCTCGGCCAATAAGACTAGTCTTTGCTCGAGTCGTGCAACTTAGCCAATTGACGCTCAAGCAACACCTCAGTGAACTAGTCCAACATGTGCCCGAGTTGAGTAGCTCAACCAACATGACCAGTCCTTCCCCGAGTCACGCAACTTGGCCAATTGTCACTCGAGCAGCACCTCAGTGAACCAATCCAACCTGTGCCCAAGTTGAGTAACTTGGCAAATAGGACCAGTCCTTGTCCGAGTCGTGTAGCTCGGCCAGTTGTCACTCGAGCAGCACCTCAACAAACTAATCTAGCTAGTGCCCAAGTTGAGTAGCTCGACCAACAAGTCGGTCTTTGCCCGAGTCGTGCAGCCTGGTCGATTGTTGCTCAAGCAATGTCTTGACGAACCAACCATGCCCCTATTCCCCCATGAGGATCCTAGAGCATGCCTCATTTGGGGGGAGAAGTGAAAGGGCATATTGTGGATCTCGCCATGTGGACACAGTTGGCAACTAGTCAGTGCAAACATGGAACCTCGGGACGAAGATAGAGTGCCACGTTGGACGTGCCACCATGGACTCGGGAAGACGACCACTCCCCTCCCGCATCATCTGGAGCTGCACGAGCTAGCATCGTGCCGACAAGGGTTGCTCCAAAAAGCTCGGGACGACATCGCGTGGCATTGTTCCACATATATCAATCTACGATCGTTTGAAGGTACGAACTCATCGCCCGAAGAGTTGGTCGCCACATGCAGATCGCGTAAGGCCGACCCTCGGGCGCTAGGATAAAAACCCTCAGCCAGCATCTAGCAAGGGGGCGAACTTTCTATAATAGTTCCACTCAATATTGACTTAATCTTTGGAGAGGCCTAAGTCGAGAAACCCTTCTTGACCTAGGCTAGTTTGCAGGACCTGACGGTGATGAAGCAAAGCATGCCCATTGAAGAGGCGCATCCAAACCGACCCCGAGCTCAACCCGACCCAACGAAGGTCTGATCACTAGGATGATCCTTGACATTGACAATTGAACCGAGTCATGCTGACTCCTCGATCATAGAGGTTCACAAACAATGAATACACAGTATTTTGAATCTCTAAATAACATCTAACTTTAAGCTATTAGTTTTCCTTTTTTTCATATATAGTAAATAGTTAAATCGGAATTTCAATGAAATTCATTCGGACTCACCATGTTGATCACCCAAATTTACATTTATTTTATATTAAGTTGATTTCGAAATTTTGTCGGCTTTTCTTGATTTTGGTCTATTTAGTTTGGTTGATTTATTGCAAACATGTGAATTGAAGTCCCAACAATTGAGATCTCATTTTTTTTTTAACTTCATTTCATAAAGATGTCTCTGTTGAGCCATTCAGGTTGATTAATATATTATTATAGAAAAATAATAATTCTCATATTTGAATTCACGTGTGAACTTGATGTAGGAAATGTATTCCATACAAGAAAACAAAGACACTAATAGTAATTCACTCAACCTCCCAATAGTAGACTGAGGCAATGCCCATTTGGTAACTCTCACCAGGGTCCCACATTCCCGTCCAACCACCTCGCTCTGGGTACGCGAAAGCACGATTGGTCGGTCCCACCCGGGTCCCATGCGTCCCGTCAATCACGTCCGCAGAAGGTTGTCAAACGGGTACGGCGTGTTTCTCCTGTTCGGAAAGCAAAACAAACACGTATTATCCACAAGGCAACACACTCGTCAACTCACAAATTTACCGTGCGATCGATGGGTCGGACCCACACCAACACAAAAGACGGTCCTCGAGTTAGCCACCTCAGCACGCGCGTATAAAACGGAAAAGAAACGGGACATTCGCTCCCCTCCCTTCCCATTCGATTTATTCTTAATTCTAATTTGTATACGGCCTCATCCGACTCACCAACCTTATATACTCCCAGTGGTCTCCCCCTCGGTCCTCCCACCCGCTGGTCTCTTTCTTGCTGCTTTCAAGGGTCCGTGTCGAGATGCGTGACGGCTACCAGCAATCCCGGCTCCTCTACGAGCTCTGCGCCCTCCTCCTCGCCGCCCTTCCCCTCTCCCCGCCCGCTCCGGAGGCCGGCGTGCCGGCGCCTGGGTCCCGCGCCGCGAGGCGAGCCCAGGTGTCGCCGGCGGGGTTCGTGGCGTTCCTCCTCGGGGCGTCGCTGGCGATGATTCTTTGTGGGTCCGTGACTTTCTTGATCGGGTTCTTGCTGATGCCCTTGGTGATCGGTTTCTTGATGCTACTATATGTCGTGGGCATCTTCTCCAATTTGTCCGGCTTGTGGAGGGCGATCCATTGTCCGAGATCCTCCTCGAGCCCTAAGGAAGTATCAGGTACAGATCCATTTCTGCCGTTATTTGTTTTTATTATTTATTTACTTAATTATTTACCTCTTCCTTTATCTATTATCGATTGACTTTTCTCTTCGGTTGGATGTTCGAATTTCTTCAGGTTGTATGTGTCCTATTATTTGTTGTACTGATGATTAATTGCGTCTTAAATTGGAATTGTTCTGATAATTAGTTAATTTCTTCATAACAGACTCACTGGGGATCAAAACACCCTTACTTCCAGTTGTAGTTTAGAACTCTTTGGAATTTGTTTGTTGAGAATTATGTGCTATCTTCTGGGGTAGTGATTTAGTATCTATTCTTCCCTAAGAACTCGAGCTTGTGGATTTTGCTATACTAGGCATTCATGATCAAGATACATTATGGATGTGTTGTAGGATAAGCTCCTCTGTCATCAAATATGATCTATGACAAGATATATTGTAAGCAATTGGAACAAAGAAATATTTTTCTGGATTTAGTAGTTGTTGAATAGAGAAAAGAAGATATTAGTTGAGATGAACAAAGAAAAAAGATAAATATAATATTCACTTTGGCTCCACAGATCTCACACATGCACGATGAAATCATACAAAAAATAAATCTTTAATTCGTTCAATCATTGTGTTCTTTTTTAGTTACAATCTTTTTCTCTTTTTATATACTCAAATAAAAAAATATAAATATGTACATCGAAAATATGCAATTAAGAAATTTATATCAAGGCAAACAATAATTAATTCTTTCCTTGAGAAGATAAATGTTATATCTGTGTTGACTGATAAACTTCCTTTTTAACGATATAGCTGATTTATAGACTTCCATTTTTATAGAATGATGAAACTTTCTTATATAAACAAAAACTTCACCGAAATCAAATTATGATTTCTTCTACTCATTGACTTTTATTTCTTTGTCTTGTGCAATCCTTGTAACTAATGTAGCAATATGGAAGATGTAGTCATTAATGACAATTACAAAATATTTCTTGTCTAATGTACTTTATTTTTAAAAAAATTAAATGGTCGTGCATGAGAATGTCATTATGATTATCACCCTATGGTGATCTCGTTGAAGAGATTTACATGTAACAAACTAGAGACCCTATAAAGGACGAGTATAAAAGTGCTGAGCAGTGGTGAAATCACTTCATGACCCAGAAAATCACCTAAATATCGGCGTGAAATGTCAATAGAAGAATCTTAGTTCAATAGTATAAGGGGGATGAAGATGAGAAACATGGCAATATTCAATCTATCTTATTTTATGCTTTTATAGGAATCAAGATTTATCATTGTAATTGGTCTTAGTGAGACAGATGTTATTTTAGAAAGGTTTTGGGAGACTAATGTGATTTGGTCATAGAGGTGATTATAACTCCCATAGGGATAGAATTAAACAAATAACTTCTTGTGCATTGGAACTCATCCCTATGGACCCAAATCCATTAGTACTCATTGTAGTCCATGAGGCTGAGGTCGTAGTAAAAGTGTTTGTTTAATTACAAATTTTTTGGTCATTTTCTACTGTATTGTTGGTTTTCTGAAGCTTTGGATCTTATATTTGAATGTTCACCCTTTGCTATCAGCATCAATATGGGGCCCATCATATTGTTATGCCAATTTTTTTTAGGGAAAAAGAAAAGAAGTTTTGTAATTTTAGATTAGATGAATATGTTAGTTGAGAATAAGTTTTAAACACCGGTCTGACCAGGATTGGTTTTGGACGATGTGGCTCATTAATGATTGGCGTCCAAACACCACTTGATCACACATAGTAGTGTTTGAATTGTCATATTTAGGAGATGAGGCATGGATCACTAGAGAAAATGACCAAATAGTTATTAATTGTTCTAGAGGTGCATCTTTTATGATCTTATGGTATACCTGTGGATTGCCCAAGTCACATTTGAAAGCTTGCAATTTGGTAGCCTGATCCAAGAAAGAGTCAAATCTTGTTTCTTTATCAATGTTCTTCTCATATAAATACGATTCATTTTAATGATTTGCAATCATGTTTCTTTATCAATGTGCAGTGACAAGGATAAAGCGTATCATTCTGGAATTTCCTCACTGTAATATATTTGTGACAGACTTTTCTTTTTTGGCAGATCCTCTCTTTTCCAAGCTTCCGACTATTTGAACAGTGTGTGGAAACAGATTACATCTCCTGTAGTTGTTGCCAGATGCGGCAAGTTTTTGCTGGCCAAGAATACCACTCGAAATCAATTCTAGAATTTGCTCATCGGGCCAGCTTACTGTCCCTTCTCTTCCCCCCCCCCCCCCCCCCCACCCTTCAATACCGTGGATCTGTATTGGTCTTTACACTCCACCCGTTCAGTAAAGATGGCAAGAAACCATATGCGATGGTTTTGTCCTGTTCATGTGTCTTGCTCAGCATTTATTGAGCAGATTACATGTACCGACTATCTCATGTTTTAGTAAGGTCATCATCTCAATTGCCGAACCCGAACGAAAAGTTTTAAGAGGTTCCGGATGAGATGCCACTACTATCTATATCTCTGTGATAACATGAGAAGGTGCCAACGAGCGGAAGACATGGCACATAAGACGCTCTCGGATAATGGGAAATTTGTTGGCTCTTCCAATAATTTGGTGAGGCAGGTCACTATGATGCTTTTCATTTTTTTGCAAAACAATTTGGTGACAGAAATGGTATCGACTTTGGAAGTTCCGTCACTTGTCAATTGGTTGCCATACATACGTACCCCTTTCAGAGACCGGATGGTGTATATTTCTCACATATATTCCGCCCCTTGACACTCATTCACCAAGCAAACTTTGGTTAATCACAAGTAACTTTAACTATCTTGGCTATAATATTCCCTAATATTCTACCAGTCATAACGAGTTCTAGATTATCTTAATTTTGTTTAAAAATTTCAACTATTGGTCAAATGGATTTTGTAGGGATATGTGTAATTTTAGAGTGGTTCTTGACTTAAAATACTTGTGAAGAGACAAAGAAGAATCTTATTAGCACTGAATCATTTTAGTTTCTTAGGTTGAGGACCTTTGAAACGCTCTATCTGTAGCTGAGGACAATGACATGCGACTTCCTGTCCACTAACGAAAACCAAGTCCTACTCTTCTCCATGAGTGCAGCACTAGAAGAAGCCTTTTAGACCCACCACAATAAGCCCTCCACGTTCTTACTAGCTTTTTGCAAGCCTTATCCTAATCTCACAAAGCTGAACATTTCGCTGTTCCACATACGACTCAGCCTGTGGATGAAACCAATCCCTCAGGTTTCAAACTGTAAAATATATTGGAGTTGCTGGCATGATCTCCAGAGAAAGCTCCTCTCACTCACATCTTTCTTCCTTCCCTAGTGCTTATGAGCACGAGCATTTCTGCAAACACATTTATAAGCCCTCATGCCAAAGTAAATCCAGGCATTTCTACTCAGGTAATAAATTCTAAAAAGTGAGACGCTGTCAAGTAAAAGTTCATAAACGAAGGCTTTTCAGGTTAAATCGATTTTGTCCTTCGACGTGAAGTTGACATGCAGCTGAATACAATTGGTTGCTGACACTGATCTTCTATATTAAGCTTAGCCATTTGGATTTTTGTGGAGTGAAGCTGGTGGAAAAGTCCTTCCAAAGTTGTGGAGGAGATTCCAATTGCACCGACGAGAAGATACCGGCGCACGTATTAATCACACTTTGTGCAATGATAAGGAATACAAACCCACATTCGAATATTGTTGCCAAAAAAAGGATCTCAAATAACCCATGGCCATTGTCTAATAATCATATAAAATCATTTCAATCATATTTTATTAAAGTAATATAAGTCTTTAATAAAATAAAGTAACTAAGCAGTGATAAGATTTTTTTTAATCCCGGAATATTAATTTGTTTCATACTTAAGCCCTGATTTTCACTATTTTAACAAAATTCTAGTCAAAGTATAAAAATCAATAAAATTTCATGAAAAACTCAGATTAAATTTACAAGTTGTGAAATATATAACATGGAAAATAATTATAATTTTTTAAAATTATTTTAAATTTATTGTAGGAAGTATTTTTTATAGGACAATGATAAATTGGATTTTTGTCGAACTAAGAAATTTTCGTGATCGTATCTTTCAAAATTATAATTCAAGGATTAGGTGTTGAATTTTCAGTGGAAGTGAGAGTAAATCTTTTACAAGATTTTAGAAAAAATTTCTAGGCAGACACTCTTCCACTTAATAATAATAATAATAATAATAATAATAATAATAATAATAATAATAATAATAATAATAATAATAATAATTCTTTGTGATGCATAAAAACAAAAGTAAAATTGTTATAGTCAAATAAAAAATAAAATTAAACTAAATATGTAAGATTATTTGATAAGAATAAATCTATTATCGTAAAAAAAAACATTTTGTTATATTTGAATGACTATCAAATCTCACTCGTTAGAGATTCATTTTTTCATATTTAGAATTTTAAGACGAACATTGTTCCAATTAATAATAGAGTAGATAATAAACGTGCAAAATGCTATATACTTGCTTTAAAACCTCTTCTGAATTTGCACATGAAATAGGAGCATTTTGTGGAGATAATATTCCATTTCTGTAGGAAACAAAATTCAATTGGATTAGACTCAATCAGTTCTGATCGAACAACCAAAAAAGAATAAATTATAAGACTCTAATTGATTATCTAGATAATTATAAATATTATATATATATAAATAATTATACGAACTGCTGTCAAATCATGTTAACTATAAGGAGTTTTCTTGAATTCTCAGTCAAATATTGAGATCTCTATATAAAGTTAAAAAAAATAATTTCATAAGATTAAAAATTAAAAAATTATTGAAATAACGAGATTAAATATTTTTACCAGTATAAAATTTTAAAGATTTCAATATAATTTTAAAAAAAATAAAAATTAAGATACTAAAAATAATTAATTATAAAAAAATCTATAATTAACCCGAGGAATGATTAATTATATTGAGGCTCACAGTTTTCCTGTTTCATGAGGCTCGGATTTCTGCATGCATTGACTTCTGCTGATGAATAATGATCCTTTCTCCATGTTTATTGTGTTTATTATGATAGATATTTTGTCCATGATAATTAATTATATCTTGTTGCCAGCTTTTTCTTGTACCTCTTCATGAGGCTGAGATCAATACTCGGCTTCTCGACGAATATGTATCATTCATAATATTGGGTATATTTTTGTCGGTAACTCCTCTTTCCTCTCTCATGAAGTCGACACTCCTGCATGAATCACATTCCACCGAGAGAAACAAAGTATAACGGACTGTAGACCACACATGTCGATCATTAACGTGTAATGTATGATGATTTGTGTAGGAAAGATTTCCTTTTCAGTATTTTTCTTATACAGCCTTCTAATTCAAAAAATACCTAAAATATTTCTCATCAATTCTTCTCGTCAAATTTCTTTTACCCATTTTTTCATCAGTTTTAAATCATTATTGTGTTTTCATTTAGCTCATTTATAATTTTTTTAAATAATATTTATAGTATTTTTATTGAGATATTAAAAATACTATAAAATTATTAATGAAAAAGTCCTAATCAAGAAGGACCCCTCGAAACTAAAGAATTAAAAGGACTTTTGTGCAAACTGAGAAGACTTTGGGATCACATACAAAAAGACCAAATATATATATACATACCAATAAAGAAAAGGGCCAAAGAGAATGAGTTGGCACAGTAAATCACGTGTATAATTACAATAAATAGAGTAGTGGATGTCGAGCGAGTTAGGACGGATTATGCTGTACTTGGTTACGCTGTCCGCCACCGGCGAGCATTAATTAGTGGTGTTCTGCCTCCTTCCGATCCGTTCCCCGCAGTGGCGGTTTCGCTTCGTAGGTATATAACACCATCGATTCTCTATTTTTATTCTCTTCCCCTTCATCTTCGACTCTCTTCCCGTTTGTTTCACGTTTGAAATGCGGATGGAGAAGTAGGTAAACTACGCGTCTCCTTCGGCACGTCCCTTCGCCTGTTCTCCGCCGCTGTTGCCCACCTGCTGTCTCTGCCCCGTGGGAGCTCCCCCACGAACCGATCCGCCCTTCCCCCCCTCCCCCCGGACAGAGAGCATGGATATGATCCAGCCAGGTATATTCCAATTTCTCTTTCTTGTATGCTTTGCTTTTGTGAGATGATTGCTCTTGTACTGGTATGCTTGGTTTTCTGGTCCTGAAAGGAAAATTAGGAGAGAAGAATTTGAAGTGAAATTTAAGTTCTAGGTTGGTGTCAAGTTGATGATATGGGAACAGGAACTTCAAATCTTCCCTAGGAGCTGTTTGGCTAAGATCATGATTCCGTCGTTGGTGTGTCGGTGGCCTTTTTGATAATTGGTGCTGGTATAGTTGGCGTTGTTTTACCCTGGACTATGGATCAAGGAGAAATGGTTATGGCTGTGTCTTTAGAATATGCAGGTTGTAGTTTAACTTATGTTATGGTTGATATGTATTTTATGAGTACTAACTAGATTCAAACTGCTTGTTACTTTGTTATTTAGAGGAGTCCTAATTAAATTCTAACTTCAAGAAGGATTAGGATTGGAGGTTCAAGTCGGAAGATGAGACCTTAATGAATTAGGATTTATTGATATAAATGCATCGTGCATCTCAAGGTTTTAGTGAGAGGAAGAGGTATAGAGAAAGACACTTTGGGTCTCTTGAGTTGTTCTCTAGTGGATCCAGAGAAGTATTGAGAGAAGAGTTTCTTAAAGTTTATATGAGAGGGCGTACAAGGGTTTTTGGTTTGACATTGAGGTAGCCTAAGAGAGACATTCTTATATTTAATTTGTTTAATATAGTGAAGAATTTAGTCTTCTCCATGAATAGGCAACAAGTGTCGAATCTTACATTGGTTTTCTGGTATATTCTTTATTTATTGATCTATTTTTGGTCTCGAGTTCTTCATTCTTCCCCCCCCCCCCCACACACACACACACCATAATTTACTGGTTCTTCTTCTACTCCTTTTAAATTGTCACTGTGTGAATCAATAGCTTGAATTTTATATGTGTCTTAGAATCTTCTTCATTTCATCTGCTTTTGATATACAAAGTATGGATCAGAATATAACCTGAATGATGGGATCAGTTTCATGTCAGTAGTGTTATTGACATCCTCAACCAATGCAATAATCACCCTTCCATCTTCTGTCATGATTAGTAAGTGACAGACTGCTATATTCATTCACAAACAACTTGAGAAGAATTTTAGGTGGCCAAAATGTCTTAATGTGAAGGCTGTGACTGATCAAATCATCCAGCCATTACATAAATATGGCAACAGAATGCTGACATGTAGGTGCAGTCAGTCTCGGTTTGATAATTTAAATTTTTACAGGCTTCGCATTTTGGGAATTTTGGCCATGTCATATGCTCATTGGGCGTACATATATCAGAATCTTGTGAAACATTATTGACAATATTGATATCAGGACTTTATGGCAACTTTTTAGATTCATTGAGAATGTCAATGTCACACATTTAAGTCTAGGGAACAAAGCAAAAAATTAAAACCATAATTAAAGAAACATTCAAGTAATTTTCCATAATATTTCAAGTATGAAATTGTATGAATATTATGAACATTTCATACAAAATTAAGTTGCTTTCTCTTCCTTGTGCAGTTACAGGCTTTGATATAAATA